TGGTTAGAACATGAAAGAAAAGCCAAATTAACAAAATAAATACCCGCATCGAAACAAAAGTGTGACACACCATGTGTGTCACGCGGTACGGAGCATGTTAATGTTGTACATTAATAAAGCACTGGGCGCCATGCGCGTGGTTGGGGAGCCAAGCGTTATTTTTCCACAATCGTATCGCAGCTACAGTACTAAAAGAGTAAACCGTTCGGCACTCATCAGCTCATCTGTGACACGCACTGCGGCGACGACAATTAATCAGACGCGTAACGGTATTCATTTGGCCGAAGTACGGCAAAAGGGAAACTCACAAACTGCACTCAAAACCGTAAGAGAACCACCTCACCCATCAGAGAATCCGAGAAAATTCACAGGCCAGAAGAGACTCCAGTGTTCTAGTCAGACGTTTAACGATAGGATCATCGGACACCCATTGACATTCCTCGTTATAATTAGCCCATCTCATATTCCAATCCCATTTGTTTTGAGGGGTCTCTCGAGAACGAGACTAAAGGAATAGATTGGACAGATCGCAATCGGTGGTGCTCACTTCTTTGGCGACTGCCGTAGAGCTCCAGTTTCGCCAATGTCATCTCCCTCAAGTCTATGAAAGCCGTTCTTTTACTGGCTAGGCTGACTGCTTGGGAGGTAGTTCAGGCTTGACGGTTTAGGAATTGATTCTGACTATTACTGTAGTACTGAGACTTTCGAGGCTCATCGGCAGGGAGCAGCAAGTTACTGTATAAGCCACCGTATCCAAAAATACCACTATGACCTTAGACTACAGCAGATGTCATGGCGCCCAACCCCAAAAGTGAGCCGCACTCAATCGTAATACTTTGGGGGGAATTTTCCTTAGCACTATCTATTCATTGTTGCTGTTATTGGTGCTGCCTGTTCTAAATGTGCCACGTTTCTGGTAATTCATCACTAGATATCAGCATTTTTCAGCACTGTTTCTTACTTTCCCTAATTGGAACGTCTACATCCGGTAAAAACTCTTAGTATTCCGTCACGAGTGTTTTCTGATGTGAACAGAACCTCACAATGACGATTACCACCCATGTTACAGTCTAAGTAAATTATGAGAGCAATTCTCAAAGTTCAATGCATTGTTAGTTCTGAAATGCGATTCTTCAACCTGATAGGAGCGAGGAGCTGACACGAGATGCAAAAAACAAAATGCTCATTTACCCATAGGTAGAATTTATAGCAATGGAATGTCGTGCCAGACGGCTAGGTGCTACCTTTTCTAGTGCACCCTGCAGCGTTTTGTTTTGAAGCCTTAACCTGCGTAATCTATGTTTGGGGAAATTATTCGCTTGAAAGAATTTTGAAATTCCCTGCACACTCACGACGCTCCGCGCACATAGCTTTCCCAACCCTCTACTTGGGAGCGCTTCATCTGCGTTGTTTGACTTTTCCATGGGCACGTCCTCAGCTGCTGAAGGATACCACTGTTGCCACTTGAGAAAGCGTAGCAGTGGGCTGGTAGATGTTCTCTATGTCTCTGCCTGCGAGCAAAGCACGCCACAGACACGCAACACGCCGCACGTACAGCCATGCGCCAAGCCATACAGAGACGTGAAGCTCGCCTGATCACGTCGCCGACACGTTCAGCTTGGGACTTCAGGCCATGTGAAGCCGTGTATGTGCGAACGGCAGGATGAAGCATAAAGAGGATCCAGCAGCTACAACACCCCCTCCCCTTTCACTGTTACGCTGCAGTGCCATTTCCGAGTGGCAAACATAGTCCCTTTTTATTGCTGTGGACCCTTCATGGGAACCTAGGAAGGTAAGCATTTAGTCGAGTACGCAGTACATGATGGTCGTTTGGGTGGAGTCAGAATACCAATGTGTCCTCATCACTAGGGCCTTCCCCTTCAGCCGTGGTGGTAGAGGAAGCGGAATATCGATCAGCAAAGTATAATGGAATGCTTGACCCCGTTCGAGTGTGCCTGCGAGCATGCCCTAATAGGGCCCTATTTTCCACTTGTTCCAAATTTGGATTAGCTATTTAGTACTCACCTTTGTCCTGCTCTCCATAAACGTCAAGTGAGCGTTGTCCAATGAGGATTGACTGCCTTTTTGGGCGAATACCCTCCATCAGGCAAGTGTCGGCGACGGTGGCCACTGATCACTGAAACTCTAGGAAACAGTGTCTTGTAACAAGGACGTCAAGTGATCAACGAGCAATAACTACAAATAACGACGTCACACCTTTCTGCGACTGGCGATGATCGAAAATTTAGATAGTTTACACTTCATAGAAGTAGTCTAATGTAGCATATTATTGAGGATTTAGAGCTGTAGATCGAACAATCAAGGATATCCGCAGTGAAAGAATGAGTCGATATTAAGTGAAAAGAATCGACCAGCATTTCAAAAAAAATCTGAGGAAATCGCATGTAGGAAATGAATTTTTGAAGAAATCAAATAAGAGTGTAATGGCCTATAAGCCGAAACCAAATAGCGTGCTACGAACAGGGCACATCCTGGCGTTGGAAAAAACTTCCTTGCAATTAAGACCCTGCCCGATTTTCTCCTCCAGTACGACCCTAAACAGAG